TCTGATTCAGGATCAAGGGGGAGACAGCGTACTTCAAGTACAGCAGAGTACTTCAAAATTATGCCAAAGTACTTCGAAATTACAGAAAAGTACTTTAAAGTAGCCAAATTAACTACAAGTACAAAGTACGCTGTTTCCCCCTTGTTCAGGATACTCGATAACCTGATAAATTTAGTATTTTTGGCGAAGGGTACTTCTGAAAGTTTAAGAAAAATTTTCAAACTAATATTATTTTTCATACAAATCTTTTTGTCCCATTTTGTTTGATAAGTCTTCTTAAACTTTCTGAAGTAGCCCTCGCCAAAAATACTAAATTTATCAGGCTATCGAGTGCGCTGAATCCATAAAAGCACATACCCACAACTCATAATGAACTTTATTCTTTTTTTGTCCGGTAATATGAAAGGTTAACTTTTATCATTTCGGTTAATCTATTTGCTAATTAATGCAATGCATGATTGTGCTACAACCACTCAATACTTTGATTTCATATACAACATCGTTTACTATTGTATTCGATATATTATCTCTTATAAGAGCTTTTGCTATAAATAGCAAAATTAGTAGCTTCTGGGGTTAATGGAAGTTGTAAACTTGAAGCTCTGATACATGTTTCGAGGGAGGGTCACCTCTTCCATACAATTTCGTGTCCATGTTTCCACTCGACGAAGTGTGCTAAAAACCTGTTCAGCTTCATTTGACCCAACATCATATGTTGCCAATATTTAATATAAAAAATACCATTCTGGTGTTAATTCACTTCCGTGCGCCGCTATTTCTTCCAGTATCTCATATACCAGTTATTCTAACGGACAATCAGAACTTAACATCGGATTTTAGGCAGAACACAAACTCCAAAAGTTTGGCAGACAGTGTCAAAATTTAGGATGGGGAGATCTCCCTCACTTTCCCACCTAATTGGAAACGCCGCAAAGGTATGAACGAAACACTACCGAGTAGTCATTAAAGTTTTACTTGAATTTCGAATTACGGACGCATTTTTCATTAAAAATTCAATCATTTTTGAAAGAAAATCAAATTTACGGACCTGTAAAAGATAGACTTTCTGCACATCACTTTTGATTTTATCGTAACTCTAGTACACTTTCTCAAATAACTCTTTCTAATGTTTAATCTATTCAATAAACTAAATAAGAATAAGAATAATTTGAATTCAGTCTTATTACTTCACAAATTACGCATACTCAGCTATATCTTACTAAAAGAATTTCCTGTCTCCTTTAGAGATAAAATACAATAACAAACTATGGGATCGTTTTGTTTTCTGTTTTTTTTAATATATATTTATTGTATTTTAATCAATTTGTTTGTTTTCAACAAACGACAAAAAAAGTGTTTATTTTTCATTCAACAATGATATAACAAAAAACGAAAACAATTTTAATAACACAAACAACACTTTTCTTTGCTCTTCTTTTTCATACCATTCATTGTTGCTGTTCTTATTGCTTTTAAACAAGAACATCAGGAAATTCAAAATGAACATCTTTTCCGGTTAATTTTTTATAGACGGACTGAAATGTACCAATCTAAACGACATATAAAGATTCTATTTTTAACAAGAAAAAGTCACGATAAAAGAGAGACCTAGACTAAGTTTAAACTAGGCACATTAATCTAAACTTTTGGACATCTATATTAAACTAAATGGTTTTTTTTTACAAATTGATGTACCTTTGTTTCGACTAATGTTTGTTGATTCTTATCTAGATGTACTTTAAATAATCTTGATCCATCTAATTTAATACGTATACGTTTTCCTGTTATTTCAGCTGGATAAACAAGATCATGTAAAATAGCATCATGAACAGCGGTTAATGTACGACTGAAAAAAAAAGGAGGAAATGGCATAAGTAAAACATGTCAACTATTTATTGTAAAATCTTCTTACTTTCTTGGACGCTTTTGTTTCGATTGTGTTTTTGATTTTCTTGTCGGTTTTGGTAATATTCTTCTCTAGAATAAAAACGATAATAAAAAAAGATTAATTTATGTGTGTTAAGTTTTTAATACAGTTCATTAGCACTTAGACATAAAAGACTATCAGTAATAATCTATCAAAATTTAATATGAACAATTGTTCAAAGAGATTTCTAAAGTATACCGTAGGAAATGAAGACCAACACATCTGAGATAGAGAAGAGTAAATATGTTTGATATAAAATTTTTAGAAAATAATCTAGAATTTCTTCTCATACTGTCAGCCGAAGAAATCTAATTCAAAAACATAAAAATGTCTATGAACGTCTTCGTTTTTATAAGACTAACGTTTATCATAAAAGTATTTAAAATAGTACTCACTTGTCCTAACAAGACAACAGTTTGATTAAGTTTTTTTTCAAGTTCCGACACAAGCGATTGATGAACACGTTGAAAATTTTTTATTTTTGGTACGGGTATATAAATAATAATTGCCGATCGTCCATCACCTAAGTCAAGTTTCTAAAAAACAACAAAATACAACTTTTAGACGAATAAAACAAATTGTCGTCTACTATCATCAAATGTATACTTTCGCTCCCGTTATGTATAATTCACGTAATTGTCCTTTGAAATGAGCATTATTTTCTAATTCCAAAAATTGCTAAAAAGAAAAACAATTAAAATGTTTTTAGCATTTAACTATCACATTTTTCTAAAAGACTGCTACTACTATGCTCAATTTTAATCTCTATTGATGTAGCTTTTGTAAACGCCAATGACTCTTTTGCAAGTGTTTGTTACATCGTAACTACAGTTTACTATGACTATCAAAAAATTCGGTAACATAGCACATACTTGTGATATATCTAATTCGAGTGATGATGGAGTTTCACCGCCGCTTTTTATTATTTTTGATGTCGTCATGATTTTTTTAACACAATTAAAAAACACGGATGTTTTTCACTGTTCTAGAATAAACCAACAATAAAATGTATAAAACAAATAAAAGATAGATAGAAAATCATTATTATTCAATTCAATCTTCAAATTGATTTTGCACAACTCAGACACTAAATGTACCATACACGAATTGCGCAAGATATGTTGAAAGTGGCAAGAAAATTTTTAAAAAGAAAGATTAAATAAAAGACAATACAGTAAACTGAAGTTCAAGAAGCAACACTCTTTCAAAAAACTAATGACAGACTTTAATTTTCACATTTCTGTTTCTCATTAGCTTCGCTCAAACTTAAGTTCTATGCACATTGATAACTTCATAGATACAGCAACGTAGCTACATATAAAAGGCAGAGAAATTGTTGAAAAACGTTTTCTGCTGATGATAAAAATGTTCGCTTGCTCCTGTTTAAAATTCTAGAGAATATATCGAAATAATTTTCAAAAGTACGGTGGTTGGAACAATTTCCCACACATATTGACGCTACTCCTTAGATAGTGTGATGTTTTCTCGTAGTGACAGTGCTTCTAACCCTTTTTGCATCTTCCTCCAAAAAATCAAGCTGAATAATTCAAACAAGAGTAAATGAATGGGTGAAAATGAGCATGATACTGCCGTATGTAAAACATATATGGTCCATAAGTGAACGAGGAAATTTCTCTCGCTCATCTAATTCACTTTTTACTTTTCATTGTATGAGAAATATGGAACGAAGTACGCTAATAAAAATAAAATAAAAGAGTACCAGAACGCTTACAACTAACTTACATGCAGAATGTAACCAATCCAACAATGTTGTACTATGAATCCATTTTTAATCAGAAATCCATTATGTCAGTCTTAGAACGAATGTCTCTTATTGTTGTTTAGATATAAAACTAAAACTTGATTGATATATTCTCTCTGCATTTGTCTACGAAATATCCTTTCTCTATACATTTTTTAAACATAAACATTTGCTCTCTTTTTACATCCACACATGGCGACATCTATTAAACTAACTGAAAATATATTAGGGAAAATTAACAATGTGACAAACTCTAGTTGCTGATTATATTAACCGATCACTTAACCATTACGATGAAAAGTAAAGATTTATAGTTAATGCTCGTGTAATGATAGATCAGGAAATTTCTTTTAATAGTTGACAGTCAAAAATAGTCCTATTTTCCAGTAACATAAATAATATAACATCGAAATTAAAAAACCTGAAAAGAAGATAAAATAAATCGGGTCATTTATACCTAAAATGTAACACTTTCTTTATCGATCCTTGTTCTATGTCTCGTGACTTATTAGTGATAAACAGAGAGGTACAGTTTTGATATGTATTGTTGAAATCAATATGTATCTAATATCCCGAAAAAAAGCTTTGTGCTTTATTTATAATAAATCAACAAAAACAACAACAAATCAACCAAGGAAGAACGAACCACAAAAAAAACAAAGAAATAACAGAATGTCTACACATTCAATCAGCAGTACAAGAAACAAACATACACGCACTTTCAGTTTACCTACCAACAGATCAAGTAGTAATAGAACGATGATTTTGTTAACTTTTTTTTTTTTATTTTTTATTTTTTCAAAACAAAGAATGCACAGAACATATCGACATGTGTTGAAAAATGCAAGAGAACCTTTCATAGAAAGGAATAACAATGATGATGCGCAAAACGAATAGAGGAAAGAGTTGTTGTTTTATCTTCATCGTTTATTAGATCAGAAAAAGTAGAAAATAAAACGAGAAGACACATACATACACAACAAATCATTCATTTGTCATGAAAATTAAAATATGTAGCGTATGTGTATAAAGAGAATGAATATCATTGAAAAACAAAACAAAAGCTGAAAAAAACAAATAATGAAATTTTTTTCCTCTTATAAATCAAATAACTATGCCTCTTGCTTATTTGTCTAAAGTATTCCAATACGAACTAAAATAAACAAAATATAAAAATATATATAGAAATAAACATTTAAGAAACATTAAGCTACTACAGAAGACACTGACGCAAACCATAACCATGCAAAAAATACAGAGTGCAAAGCAAAACGAAAGAATCTAGATGAATTTGACTAACGGTTTTTTAAAATCGTAGAAGATTATAATAAAAAGGGTTAATATTCTTCAACTCTCTTCAGATCATCAAACATTATTAGATCTAATTAATAATTGATTAGTGTGTGTATGACGAGTCGCATGCACTACCACACATTTACTACTACATAAAAACAAAAATATACTAATGAATCTACTTGTTCATTCACAAAAGAAGGCTAACGGAAAATGTAATAATCGAAAGATATGAAATATTGGCAAATCATTAAGACAACGCATCATTTCAAGTGAAAAATAACAAGATTAAGTTATATCTAAGACCAGCAAGCTAAAAATTCATGAATAGCTCTCTAAATGAATGAATGGTTAGCAGTAGAGAAGAAAAAAAATGGATAATTTTTATCAATCTATCTTCATTTAAGCTAACATAAAACAAATCATGCATATTATAAACAACACTTTACTTTTCATTTCGTACTTCAAAAATAAAAACTGGAGTACATTAAATAAAAACCATATTATATATCACCATTTAGTAATGTCTGTATTTATTGCTCTAATCAGACTGAAAAAAGACAGAAAAAAAAGAGGAATTCTTTTGTTTATTTCCATTCATGTTGTTGTTGAGCCAATGCAATATGCATTATGTTGCTTAATAATCACTTACAAGTATATGTTCAGGACTAACATTAGCAACAGCAGAAGTAGCATTAGCAAGAACATCATGGATCGTAGTCTACGAGAGAAATAAAAGAACAAAAAAAAGGATATAGTTAAAAAAAAAAGAAAATAAATGGTGAAGTAAACTATTTATTAATTGTAGTAAACACACAAGGCACCAGCGACCGCAAGCAGATGCAATTAGTAACCACACCACACATACCCGTTACACATACCTTATTTCTTATGCTACCACTACAATTGTTTTCAGATAGAAAAGACATTTATTAAATTATTCAGCATATTTTCTGAACTCTTCCACTTCCTCTATCTAAAAACGTTTTTTTCTGAATGCTTACTTGTTGCTGGTCATGATTATGATCATAATCTGGGGATAATTTTTGAACTTTTTTCACAGGTGATAATGATGAATTGTCATCTTCACCATCACTCATTTGAGTTGACCGTTTCTCCCTTAATATAAAACCACATATATTTTTATCACAATTTACAAATTGTTCTTTTTCAAAGGTAAATTGAATTTGTCAAACATATCAATAAATTAGCCTTAATTACCTTGGAGGTGGTGAATGTGCTCCCTCATTACTAGCAATAGATACATTATCTCTACTTTGTTCTAATCGTTCAATACTGGTTTTCTAAAATTAGAGAAAAATGTGAAAAATAATCAAAGAATGTTTAAGAAGAGAGTTTGTTTTTGTAGAGAAATAAATATGTTTTCATTATCGTACTTTTTCTTCAATTATTTTTCTTAGTTTTGCAATTGTATGATCTTTTCTCGCTAAACTACGATTTGCTGATATCTAAGAATACAAAAAAGAAAAGAAAAGAACAGTTATTGGATTATTTAACTATTAAATTTACTTACAAGTTGATTATTTAGCGTTTCTTTTTCTTGTTTTAAATCTTGAAGTTTTGATTTTAATTTTTCATTGTCTCGTTTTATTTTTGCATACAATGGATCATTTGATAAAGACGAATAACTGCTTGAATTGTTATTATTATTACTATTATGTTTTTCATGATGTTGATATGATGATGGGGGCGACATAGAAGAATGATCACGACGATGTTTTAACGGTGCTAATTCTTTTGTTGAACCACCTGTTGATGGCATTGTGGCATAATCAACAAATAATCTTTAAAAATAAACAGTGAACTCTTTTTAATTATAAGAAAAACATCGTACAGTTAATGTTTACAAAGTAAATTTTCTAATGAATACTTGAATAGTAGTTTTTTTTATCTCATTACTTATCATCTAGAAAATCGTCTCAATAATATCTCTTTTGCTGTCGTATTAACAAGACATATGACATTTGAAATAATATAAAACACTTACGGGGCTTCAGCTGAACAATTTCGTCGATAATAAACGGGTTCAAGGATTAATTTCCAGTTATCCCAAACAAGACCAGTTTTTGCATGACGAGCATGTTTAGCATCATGATAATTTGTATAATTCACAAATACCATCTGAAAGGAAAAAACAGAAAAGTCTATAATAGACAGAAATTAGTTTACAAGTCAAAATATATTTACACGTTCATCATTTTTATAATAAATTTTTATTGTATTTGGACCATATTTTGAAAATTTTTCTTCAATACGTTCTAGAAGTCAAAAAATATTAATAAACTTTAATATATTCAATTGTAAATAGAAGAAAGTTTAGTAAAAATTTGCAATAATATTATCTTTCAAAGAAAACACTAGCTCTATTAGCTGAGACATTTTACTCACATTTATATGATTTTAACAGCAATTCATTTTACTTACTTCTTAATTCATCATGAGCTATTCTTGGATGAATATTTTTGACACATATTGACGTATAATTCACACGTTGACCGCCTTCACGATCATTTGATGGTGATATCACATGGGGACGAGATTGAATTGGAGAACGAGAACCACGTCGTCGAGAAGAATGAGGACGTTCGGGAGAACTACTTGATGAACTCATTCTCTTTTGCTAGTTGTTCTGTAAATAATATCTAGAACAAATTGAGTATCCTATTTCTCAATTAACTAATTCAAAAACATTATTTTTAATAAAAAAAGTATATTAACTAATTATAGTTGTTTTTAACAAAGCGGTCAAGGTAATTGTCAAGACAAACGCTAGAGTCGAGACTCCATTATCACAACAATTTTTTGCTTCTTTTTTTTTTACACATTGATTGTAACGATTTACCTCTAGCGTTTGCTCCTAATGTACATTAACCTATAACAATGTATTCTATCGAAATTACCCAAATATTATACATGATTACAATCGACATCAACGATGTCAGGAGTTGACCAATCAGGAACTTGATACACATTGTATTAATAATAAAAAATAGATCTATGATTAATATTAGAAAAACATCGATTCGAACTAATCAAAGTTTGAAACAAATGTAATTACTATGTTTATCATAGAAAAAAGTCAAAAAGAAATTTAATGCATTATTCTGAAGATTTCAGTATGTGATGACTAATGTTACCTAACAACTAAGAAAATTTAATTTTCTGAATGGCGAAGCGATATATTTGAGCTAAATGAAATCCATTATTTCGTGTGTGCTAAATTAGGATAATAGCTACAATAGGTACATTTCATATGTGAAATCAATGAGACTACCATGACAAAGCTATCTAAATTTTAATAAGAATATCACGCACATTAGGACTTCTAATAAAACAAACGAGTTATACATTGGGGCGTCATTTTCCAATAGCCAACTATTCATTCTTATTGAAAATTATCTTTGATATTTCACAATTTAGTGAAAATATCAGTTTGTAAAAGTAATAATTTTTCTTATTATAACGATATCTTATAAAGAAATAAATTCATAAGTTAGATACAACTTATCGTTGACATAGACCGAACAAAAAAAGTATCTGACAATAAAGAAGAAAAAATAATTAATGATTCATGTATAAAAAAATATATCTGACAAAATAAATTAAGAGCAGATTGATTTATAATCTTGTTGTTGAATAATTTGATAGACATGTTGAATTTGATCATAGTTTAATTGTTGAATTGTTCTTGCATCACCATTTAATTCACCAAAATTAAATGCTGATGTTCGTTCACTTGTTGTACATTTCATTTGATATTGTTGATTTATTCTATTTAATAATTCACATATTTGTTTCATTCGTGTTGGAAGTATTGGTCCATTATTAATTTCTAATGTATACTGTTGTTGTTTATCATGTGTAAGTGATGTTGTATAAATATTTAAATATTTTAATGTTGAATTCAAAAATGGATAAGGTGAAATTAATGTAGGTGGAATACCCGCTAATTGACCTGTATATTGAATACATAAACGTTGAAATTTATTTAAAAAAAAATTAAATAAACTATTGATATTTTCACTATCAATAAGAATTGTTGATTTTAATCGATGATCATGTTTTGTTGTTGTTGAAAGAGTTGTTGAATCAAATGATTGAAATTTTTTAAATAGAATATCTGTTGTTTGATGTTGATCTGATTTTCCTTTATTTTTATCATCTGATGATATACCCATACTTTGAAGCCATTTGACACACATTTCATCATTTTCATCATCCGAATCATCAAAACCATTTTCATTCAATGATTTTAATGGTGATGATGAGTCAATCTCAACTGATGAAAATTTTTGAAGTGGAGCTCGTCTGAAAACGATAAAAAAATAATTTTTTTGAGTAACATCATTCCCTCTTGTACATATACATTAGGTTAAAAAGGTTAAAAACTATCCATATATTCTGTAATTCTAAACTGAATCAGTTTTTCCGATAAATTAACAGTTCAATTTCAATTAGAGATCTTACTTTGCATTGATGATATTGTTTGTTGCTGTAGCATATGGTAATGTGAAATCAATGCCTTCTTTACTTAATGTTGTTCTAAATCCAATTGTTGTTGGACTAATGCATGTTTGTAACTTTTGTAAATGTTTATTAAAAAACCATAGACAATTAAAATGATGTGTACACATATAGAAATAGGGACATTTTTGTAATCGAAATAATTGATATAATGATTGAAATGTTAGTTTCCATTCATCTTGTAACTGTTTTTGAATATTTTCATCTAATGGTGGATTATTTGATAATGATGAAGAATGTTGTTCTAGTACGTTCCGATCGGTTGCCATTGTCGAATGACGTGGAAATAATTTTAACCAACATAAACTTGGATACATCCAATACGATGCAAGTGAACGCAACAGACTCGATTTTATGCTATCGATATCGCCAACCAATGATGATAAAAATTCGTCTGATTTCGATATTTGATCAATAAAATCTGGAAAAATGATAAAGTCATAAGAGACATTTCGCTAAAAGATGGGAAACGGTTTCTTTTAGAAAATGGTCCAATATGATTTTGAGTGAAAATGATCAGAAATACTTCCCTTTTTACTTTCCAACACTTCTGAATTTCAAAAATTTAAAAATATTCAAAAAATTATTTCTTATCATTTTTCGTCACCAGTTCAATGAAGGTCATTCTCATTCATTTTGTTTCTCAAATTTTTCGTACGATTTCAGAAGACTTTGACCAAAGTTCATAATAGAAAGATAGAAAATTTTCCACGCTTCAAAACGAGCTATTGACAAGCTTCTCAAACATATGCTCTTATAGAACAATTGTCAAAATACTAGACAAATGCCACGATTTTCACCTATCCTTACACTTTAAAGGAATACTTCTTTGACGCTTCTACTCAGACCCGGAATATTTTTTATATAGAAAGACAGAGAATTTTCCACGTCTTTGGGGACTTTTCGTAAATATAATGCAGCTTGATGAAAAAATATTATGGAGAGCTCGGAAATGTCTTATTTTTCTCAGAAATATTTACTCTATCTAACTAAACTATTAACACAAAACTACCGATAGAAGCTAGGATACTTGAAAATATGACTTGGCCTTTCTCCAAACCCTGGGCAAACTTTTAAAACAAAATATTGTAGTTCATTGTGAAGCCCAGAAAATTCTCTATGTTCCGATGTATAAAACATTCGGAGTCTGAACAGAAGAGTCAAAGAAGTATTCCTTTAAGGGTCCTCCGCTCCTCAGATATTATCTCTGACACCGTACATCCGACCTTGACGAAACTTTCAATAAATGTTTGGCTTAATGAGTTACGGGAATGAAAAAATGTTTTTGTCTCCAAGTCTTACCGTTCAGGAGTTTTCCAGAGATCAAGGTGCAGATCAAAATGCTTAACTATTTGATGTAAGGTCATACAGAGTTGTGCGAGGTCTTATTTTGATCAGAAACGTTTGCTCTACAAATCTGTGTGTTTAGAAAAATTTAAATTGCTTAAGTATCCAGGAAAAAGCTATTATTTGAAGACCCGGTTTTTCGAGGCTCCTAGAAAACTTGCTCGAAATCCGCGAAAAACCACTTTTGTAACCAAAAGCGATACAGATTCTGAAAGTGAACACTGCAGGCTATCTTCCCATGAATTTTTCTCAAAATCGATGTTTTGACCGAAAATCACCATTTCTGAGGGGGGGAGGCTTAAGGTGTTAGGATAGGTGAAAATCGTGACATCTGTCTAGTATTTGGACATTTGTTCTATATAAGCATATGTTTGAGAAGCTTGTCAATAGCTCGTTTTGAAGCGTGGAGAATTCTCTATCTTTCTATTATGGGCTTTGGTCAAAGTCTTTTGAAATCGTACGAAAAATTTGAGAAACCCTTTCCCGTCTTTTGTACTCGAATTTTTTATGCTTGATCAAATCTATTATAGAATGAACATTCTCACCTATTGCTTGTGTCTCATCTTGTGAACGTAATTTTGTTGCCCATTGTAACGATTGTGTTGAAAAATAGCGACATTGTGTTTTTAATGACCAATCGAGCGGATAAGTGAATGTTGATATTGATGTAGATTTCAAATTGGTGGTTTCATCAAATGAATCTTCGTTTAATTTTGTAAATTCATCGAATGAAAATGAATTTGAAGAATTAACGGTATGAAATGAGGATATTGTAGGATGATGTAATCTAGTTATGATATTTTCTGATTGTTGTGGAGATGTTGATGGTTGTAATTCATCGTTTGTAGTGGTTGGTGTCGATACTGAACGAGATAAAGCAAATTTGTTTAAACGAGCACGTTTCGTTTGTGGAGGTTGACAAGTAGCAGGAGATAATGAGGATGAGGAATCAATATTCAATGGACGACGGGTACGTTTCACAGAAACACTTGTCGGAACTTTCCATGGTGATGGCGGTTTATCCATCTGAAAAAAATAGTTAAGTAAGAAGTGAATATGAAACAAACGCTTAAACTATCAAGTTTGTCAGAACTAAAGAAACAAGACTCAATAACTAGAGGAACTTTTCTGTCCGTGATCAACATCAAGCTTAATAAAGCGTAAGCTTGTGAACTTTATAAGTAAATAACAACAAATTATTCTCTCTAGAAAACACAAAGAAATGTAGATAATTAAAGGTCTGTAATAAAGGAACATCACTTTGTGTACAATAAAACTGTCCATGAATTCTCTAACGGTATAGTAGAACAACGGTATAGTAGAAATACATTATAACGGTTTTTAAGGATTAAAAATGTCTTTTTAGTTATCTTCCCAAAAAAAACGTCAAATCCTTATACAGATAGAAGAATGACTTTTGTACTACCGTTTCTTCCTCTAGTAGGCGTGTCAGATGAGAAAACCAACTCGTGAAATATTGAACCAAATTTCATGAAACCTGGTGCATAAGGATTTGAAAGGATGCCCTTTCTTTTGGCTCACTTAGTTTTTTTCAAGGTGCTTGGAAGTAGGGTTTCTAGAAAATCATGATTTTTTAGGTATCAATGTGCAAAAAATATTTTTTTCAGAAACACTGTCGGTATTTGAAAGAATTTCGAGACGACCATCGTATTCAAAATGAACGGAGACTACATTTTAAAAGAAACTCGATTCTTCAGTACAAAGTTTAAATTTTTAAACTAAACTTTAATTTTTAAAATTTTAAATATTTTTAAAAGTTTAATAACTCGACTTAGAAAAATGCTGCAAAATTTGACGATCCACCATTTGATACAGAATCAAAACTGAACAAATCTAATGATTTGCCAATTTTTAAAATTGATGTCCCGAGACCGATTCTTTAGAAAATCAATTTAAAATTCCAAATTTATATTATCAATCATTTTCTAGAGGACAACAAAATATGTAAGCTCCTGTTATTCAAGTCTTTCAAATTTAGAAATTATAAAATAACAGAAGTTTTCAAATAAAAGCGAAATAAGTTTGTTTTGGAAGTGCCTCGACGCATTCTGAACGACTCGAATTAGACACCAATCTTAAAAATTGGCAAATCATTAGATTTGTTCAGTTTTGATTCTGTATCAAATGGTGGATCGTCAAATTTTGCAGCATTTTTCTAAGTCGAGTTATTAAACTTTTAATTTTTTAAAA